CATAGCAAATCAGAAATCAGATTGAATATGTGCTTTGCAGCCAAAGATGGAGAAGCTCTATACAGTCAGTAAAAACAAGACCAGGAGCTGACTGTGGCTCATATCATGAGCTTCTCATTGCAAAATTTAGGCTTAAATTGAAGAAAGTAGGGAAAAGCACTAGGCCACTTAGGTATGGCCTAAATCATATTCCTGAGGAATATACAGTAGAGGTAAAAAATAGATTTAAGGAATTAGATCTGATAGACGGAGTGCCTGAAGAACTATGGACGGAGGTTCTCAACACTGTACAAGAGACAGCAACTAAAACCATCCCAAAGAAAAAGAAATGCAAGAAAGCAAAATGGCTGTCTGAGGAAGCTTTACAAATAGCTGAGGAAAGACGGGAAGCGAAAGGCAAGGGAGAAAGAGAAAGATGCACCCAACTTAATGCAGGATTCCAGAGAATAGCTTGAAGAGATAAGAATGCCTTCTTAAATGAACAGTGCAAAGAAATAGAAGAAAACAATAGAATAGGGAGGGCCACAGATCTCTTCAAGAAAATTGGAGATATGAAGGGAACGTTTCATGCAAAGATGGGCATGATAAAGGACCAAAATGGCAGTGACCTAACAGAGGCAGAAGAGATTAAGAAGAGGTGGCAAGATTACACAGAGGAACTATACAAGAAAGAGCTTAACATCCGTGATAACCAGAATGGGGTGGTAACTGATGTCGAGCCAGACATCCTGGAATGTGAAGTCAAATGGGCCTTAGGAAGTCTGAGCAACAACAAAGCTAGTGGAGGAGACAGTATTCCAGCTGAGCTATTCAAAATCCTAAAAGACGATGCAGTAAAAGTGCTACACTCAATATGCCAGCAAATTTGGAAAACTCAACAGATGGGGTTAGATGAATCACAAATTCGAATTAAGATTGCCGAGAGAAATATCAACAGCCTCAGATATGCAGATACCACCACTCTAATGGCAGAAAGTGAAGAGGAACTAAAGAGCCTCTTGATGCGGGTGAAGGAGGAGAGCGCAAAAGTTGGCTTGAAACTCAACATTAAGAAAACTAAAATCATGGCAACTGGTCCTCTCACTTCCTGGCAAATAGATGGGGAAGAAATGGAGGTAGTGACAGATTTTATTTTCCTGATCTCCAAGATCACTGCAGACGGGGACTGCAGCCAAGAAATTAAAAGATGCTTGCTCATTTGGAGGAAAGCTATGGCAAATCTAGACAGCATACTAAAAAGCAGAGACATCACTCTGCCAAGAAAAGTGCGTACAGTCAAGGCTATGGTTTTCCCAGTTGCAATGTACGGCTGTGAAAGCTGGACTATAAGGAAGGCTGAGCGCTGAAGAATTGAGGCCTTTGAATTGTGGTGTTGGAGAAGGCTCCTGCAAGTTCCTTGGACTGCAAGGAGGTTAAACCAGTCAGTCCTAGATGAGATCAACCCTGACTACTCTTTAGAAGGCCAGATACTGAATATGAAACTCAAATACTTTGGCCACCTAATGAGAAGAAAGGAGTCACTGAGAAGAGCCTAATGCTGGGAACAATTGACGGCAAAAGAAGAAGGGGACGGCAGAGAATGAGGCGGCATGAGCTTAAGTGGACTCCAGGGGATGGTGGAGGACAGGAAGGCCAGGAGGAATGTTGTCCATGGGGTCGCGATGGGTCGGACACGACTTCGCGACTAACAACAGCAACAACAACATATAATTCTGAATGGTGATGTGAGTAAATCTGTAATGCTACTAATTTCTGTTAATGCTTTCCACCAAGTTGGCAGCAGAAGGATTGCAGGAATCACGCATAAATTTACAAACCTGTATCACTAATTATAAGGTACATTCTGTTCTACATACAACTGAAGAGGTGATCACAATATATTAGATCTGAAATGTTATGTGTATCCTACATCTGATGCATTTTTTTTTGCAAGACCTATTTATTGAAAGACATTTTACCATATTTTTCCGTGTATAACATGCCCCCATGTATAGGACGCTCCCCACTTTTCCTAACGATTTGCAGCGAGCAAGCTGCTGCTGTGCGCGTGCGCTGCTTTGCCCCCCTGCCTGCACGTGCCACTTTGCTGCCCCCCGCGTGGTGCTTCGACTCCCCCCTGCCCGGGTGTGCCCCTTTGCCCCACCCCGTGCCCAATTGCCCCAGTCCCCCCCCCCCAGCACTCCCCCTGTGTATAAAACACATCTCCATTTTTAGCTAAATGTTTTAAAGAAAAAGTAGCATCTTATACACGGAAAAATATGATAAATTGCTTAAAGAAATTTCTAAGTGGTGTACAAGACGAAAGATAAGATTACCTTGTTGGTAATGCTTGTTGAAAAAGCTGTATTTTTGGAAGGTACTGAAAACCCAGAAAAGTTGGATTTACCTTTGTACTGAGAATACAGACATTTTAACATCCCATTTTTGTTTTTTGAAATCCATTTCAGAAACACAACATATCAAGTTTCATAAGACAGTTCTGAAAAGGCAATTTCCCCCTTTGTTTCATACTTTGACAATACAGTCTAACAAAGTCAGTGTGATGTGATGGACTGGGGACCTGGGTTCATTCAGGCATGAAGCATATAGGATGACTTAGGGCCAGTCAGACTTTCAGCCCAACCTGCCTCACAGGCTTGTTGTGAAGATGAAATGGAGCTATGTAAGCCACCTTGGGTTTCTCACAAGAGGAAAAAAAAGACAGGAGATATAATAATTATCTGCTCTGGGAACCCTCTGTAAAAGAGGTAAAAAGGTCATCAGCTCGGAGTAGGCCCTTTTCTGCAGTGGCACCCAGACTCTGGAATGCACTTCCCAGAGAGGTATGCCTGGCGCCGAGGTTATACTCTTTTCGGCACCATGTTAAAACCTTTTTATTTAAATGGCATTTTAAAATCAATAGCTTTTAACGTTCAGTTGCTCTTGTTTTGTTTTGTGATGTACTGTTTATTGGTTTATACATTATTCTGTTTTAATTCATTTATTGGAAATTGAGCTGTTTTAAATTGATCTTTTAAACACTGTAAGCTGCCCCGAGATTTTTATATTATAGGACGGCATATAAAAGCTTTAAATAAATAAACAAATAATACAAGTAGTCCCCAAGTTACGAACAACTGAACAACCAGTACTCATGAATGGTCATAAAGCCTATTTTTAAAGAAAATTACTGCAGAAAATTGTCAGCACCATAGAGAGAAGGGAAGTGAAAGGGGAGAGGAGGAGGCCTCCAAAACATGGATTCTTGCCCCATCCATCCAAAGGGAGAAATCTCTCTAGCATTTCCTTGCTGCAAAGTGGGTGTACTAGTGAATGGGGGTAGAGCTATTCGCAGTTTTTCCACTTTCACAGGAATCCTGCACCCCTAACCCCCACGAATGTGGAGGGCCAACTATTTATGATCTGACTTACATACAAATTTGACCTAAAGAGGAATTTCCATTTTCTCAAAAATGGAACTTGTTTGTTACCTAGAGACTACCTGTACTGCAACACCCAACTAAAAAGCTACTCTCAACCTCTCACTTGCAAAGCTATTCAGTTTGCAACACATCTAGAAAACGTTACTTCTTTTTAAAGCCACAATATATATTGAATAAATATCTGATCTGAATGTGGTGATATTAGTGGCTTATATTATTCTTCAAACACAGACTTTGAATCTCAGCAAATTGAAATTAGATGAGGAAGAAAATAAATGAAAAATGAACATCTAAAGGAGACTGATATACTTCCTCAGCACTTCTGATATTAATGTTAGACTTAACAGGTGCAGTATAACTGCAAATTTACTTGTGACATATTTCATAAAGAAACTGTACTGCATTAAAAACGTAAGTCCTATTTTGCAGCAATTAAACATTTCAAGTTTGCTATACTTTCACACTGTTATATCTTTCTTCACCTTCTGGATTGTGGAAAATCCAGGTATGTACACACTAAACTGTTTCCAGCACAATTAAAATGTTAATCCCATCTTCATGCAAAGGAAAGATGCCACATGAGGGCTGTGAAGCAAACCTGAGAAATAAGGATTTTAAGGATTTTAAGAATCTATTTTTATTTTCTTTAAAATGCCTCTTAGGGATACGTTACTATTTTGCAAGCTATACAACAACAATGCTTCTTCCAATTCAGACACTAGATTAACAAAATATTGTCCAGTGTCTCTAATGTAGCTTTGGAATTATTTGCTAAAATAATACCCTATAACACTGTGCTACTATTCTCAAGAAACTTGCATAACAGGAATAGTAATAAAAATAAATATATTTTAAAATAGCAGAGTGGCAAAAGCATATATTCAATATAATTAACGCCAATTCAAACAATACTGGGAATATTAAGATGCAAATACAGCGCTGGTTAATACAACATTGTCCTTTTCGATCTAAATGGCACAGAAACTGAAATGAAATATATTAAGCAAAGAAAGTTATGCTAGCCCATAAGAAAATTTCAAAATTCAGAGTCAGGTAGTACCTTTATTAAGACCAAGTAAAATTGGGGGCAGTATGCAAAAATTGGGGGCAGTTTTTCGAGATCTCCAGATTTTGACATTCAGGAAGATTCTACAAAACGGAGGAGGAAGGCGGAAGATTGGAGTGGCGACTTAAATATAGTCCCATTCCGGCACTTCCAGAATGCAACGCTCAACGAACATGCCCTTCCATTTAAAAAAGGAACACTAGATTGGGTGCTCCCTCTCTCGCTCTCCCATTGTCGTAGGTAATGAATCAGCGTGCGCAGAAAACGCAGCCAAACTGTTGATCGGTCCTCGCCTCTTGCACCCGGTGGGGAAAATCATCAACCCGCTTATTCACTGGAATCCCCCCGTCCCAAACTCTCTAGCTAGTAGAAGCAAGACCAAAAGGAGACAATAACGCAAAAAGAAGAGCTTTTCTGCGAAGGGCTGGAGAGGACGGGTGGGCAGAGAGAAAAGGAATGCCACGCAACGAGGCGGGCCCGCCCGAGCCCTTCTGCGATACCTGCAAGCCCACCTGCAGAGAAAGTCGCCTGTCCGCCTGTGGCTGTGTTTCCGGCCAGTCGTGAGTGCCGAATCAGGGAGGGCGTGCGGCTACCCTTCCTCGCGACCCAGCTACCGTAGCTGCTTCTTCCTCTTCCGGGCTGGGACTGCTCCCTGCTGTTCTTCAAGGCCGAAGGAAATCTTGCAAAACCACTAGCTGAACATCCGCCCAACAAGCATCCCAAAAGGACATGCATCACCAGATTTAGCAGTGCTAAACGAGCACACATAAAGACACCACATCCTCACAACTTTAAGACAAAATAGAGTACCAATGAGGTGTCCCCAATAGTTTTCCTGTTCTGATGAGCAGAATGAAGTTCTCATTGGTTGCAACAGCGCTCCTGTGAGTAACCCCTCCACCTAGACAAGAAAGCAGCAGTAGGAGACCCTATTTCCTCTGCACAAGTATTAAACCCCTTGCAAGCAACACACCATGAAGATTTTCCTGATCCAGTACTCTCGTACTTTCCTTCACAAAAGAACATTTTAATCCCTGAGATATCTCACCTTAAAAAATGAGGTTTCCAGTTTGGCAAATTAGCTGAACTGTCAAAGAATTACAGCCCTAGAAGGAATCCCAGTGACTTTTGCATGTTCCCTAGATTTCTCAGGGGCACTTGGGGTACATGAACACCCCCAAAACTCCAAGTATCCTGCAATCAAAGGGTTGAATGAGGCCCAAACTTTCACAAGGAAGGATCACTACAGACTTTGAAAACATTTGATAGGATTTTGACAGCAGCCAAATGCTTGCAAAGTGGGGGATCTTTTTATCTGCAAAGGGGGGGGTACTGGACAGGATACGTGCCCTATTCTAGAGTCCCCATTGCTACTTCCAAGTAACTGCTGACACCTGCAATTGAGCAAGGACTCCAGAACATTTATTAAAACAATTTCTACAAATATTTACAAAAATTAGGGGCTCCCTCATTTTTTAAAAGTTGGACAGTTTGGAGGGGCAGCTTATGGTTGTCAAAAGGTGAATTGTGGATTTGTGACTAGTGAATCTGAGAATTTTTTTTAACAGCCAAAAAAGTTGCAATGGATCTGAAAGGGATTGCATCAGGGCTGGAGAGAGGGAAGCCTCTGCCAGCTATCCCCAAATTCTGCTTTGACACTTTTGGGGTGGCTGGCAATAGTGGTTATGTGGTAGCCACTTGGCAAGTGCAACTTTTTTTGGGGGGGGGTTACTCGTTCAAGTGGCACACTCACAGATGGGGGTTGACCTATGATAGGTTGTATTAGCTGGTTTCAGACAACAAAACAACCCCTTGTGGGTGAAACTACTCATGGTTGAAGCCACAGGTAGTCAGGGTAGCTTATACTTAAAACTTATGCCACCCTGTCAAAACCCACTGTTCACAAAACCATGGCTTATACACGGTAGTGCAGGGGTCTCAAACTCAACTTACCTGGGGGCCGCTGGAAGTAGTCTGGGTGAGGCTGGGCCGCATCAAGTATTCCACCACCGTGGTGGTGGTGGGCCGCTCACCCCGCGTCGCTCCCAGAGGCCGGCCCGGGTGCCGCCGGTGCTTTGAAGGCCGCAGGGCCCCTCCCCTGTGCCCCGGCGCGCAGCTTAGAGGGAACATTGTGCCCAGGGTAACGACTCACGCAGGTGCGTGTGAGAAAAACGCGCAGGCCGCACTATCACTAAACTTTGATATCAAGTGGGGGCCACAAAATACCATCCCACGGGCCGCAATTGGCCTGCGGGCCGCGAGTTTGAGACCCCTGCTATAGTGGAAACAAAATTGTGGCACTAATTAAATTATGGAGAGAAGTAGACATGGAAACTCTGCACATAGCAAGAAGGAGGTTGAGGATGGAAAACTGAGGTACTGTTATGTCAAGGGAAACAGAATAGAATCATGTGAGCCGGTTGTAGTTTTCCTGGAACTCTAAAAATGGAATGGCTGTGGTATAAGTGCTTTACTTCATCCTTTTTTGGGGGGTGGGGCATGACTGCAAGTTGACTCCAGTTCAAAACATTTCATAGAGTTTTGAATTGTTCTTTTATGTCTACCAGCTTTTGATAGTTTAGGGTACTTGTAAGTGCCATGATGCATTTTTCCTTGACCGAAGGAAAATTTAATATTACTGCCAATTATGTTCTAACGTAAACCTTGAGATCCCTCTCTCTTGAAATTTAGGGTGCTCCGCTGCATGTGCTGTTGCATGATCAATCACTGCTTTCTAATTGATAGTGGATTATGCAAGGTTTAGTTGGGCAGGAGGGAGTTGTCTCTGATATCATTACCACATTCTTTGTGCCCTTCCTGATCCACCAGAGAAATGCACATTTCTGAGTAACTTTAGTCTGGGCAATTTTCATAAACTGACCTTTGGCTGACCAAAAAAAAAAGGAATGTGCATCGTACCTTTCTGATGTATTTGGTACAAATTTTTGAGGTGCCTTATAGTAGGCAGAATGGAAGAGGAGTTTTACTGGAAGTATTTAGAGGCCAATAGAGGACAGACAACATGAGAATAGCCACAAATGCTGAGGTGTCCAACTGGATCCGCTAATAGCCTGGGTCATTGATTCAGGATTGAAGTTGCTTACAAGCCTAAGTCTGTCCACTGTCCTGCTAACATTTTCAACACATGAGCAGGAAGGGTTTTTTGTTTCTGCCTTTTCTTTTGTGAGGTTAGGCTCTGGTCTTCCTACATCAAAGGAAGCTGAAAAGGACAGAGCAAAGTAGGCTCTACCCAAAAATAGCAGCAGCGTTCTTGATATTTAATTGCCATTGCAGTGACAATGGGTGGTTGAAAGAAAGTAGGCATTGAAGGCACAGAAGGAACTGTGTTTGATACTGTTTGAAGAACATGGTGGGGGCAAATAAGGCAGCAAGGGTAAGGTTGCACAAGGAATCTGTTTGGGAGTGGGAATCTGACAGGTTCTGTAAGCTCAACTCTTTGGAAACTGGCCCACTTTGTAGCAGTCTTGAGTCGGAGTTCCTGGTAAGGGTACTTAGTGCTTCTGGGACACTTCCCAGCAATCAAGCTGCACATGCTGTTTTAGCAGCACCCTTCTTCTGTGCCTAGGACAATGTGGAAGGAGGTTGGTTGCTGGGATTACAAGGAATGGTGCAACACGTGACTATTAGCAGTGCCTTTTTTTCTGAATCCAGCAGGTCACTTTGGGGTTGCAGTTGCCAGTTGCACAATTGGGGATGTGCAAGCATTTGTGGACTTCATCTCAGCATAGCTAGCTTTGCAGGACTGGGCCAAGCATAAGTAGACATCTGCAGATGCTAGAGGAAAGATTTCTGATAGGGTTTATCACAAACGTACGCATGAAGGATTCTGTAGTTTGTCGTGTTAGACATTATTGGATGTTACCAAAAGAACAAGATAAGCCATGCTGGATCAGATTAAAGGTCCTTCTGCTCTAGCAGTCTGTATACATGGTGGCAAAACAGCTGTCTACAGGATACCTCAAGCAGAATGGGTGCAAGACTGCCTGCTGCTCAAGCCCCCCAGCAACTGGTATATGCAGGCATGCCATCGCTGCTAAAGGAGGTAGCACACAGCCAGCCACTGATAATCTCCTCCCTTTACCAGATGTTGTGAGGGCTCAGCCATGGGCAGGAGAGAGAGAGAGAATGAGAGAGAGAGAAAGTAGGGGCAGTTAGAACAATGCTGTGTCTCCTTGGAGGAAGACAGGAACAGCAGGAAGGATGCAGGCTGGAGCAAGGCTGGGTCTACTTAGAGGGAGGCAGGAATAAGGGAGGCACACAGATTCTTGTAGCCAAAGCACGAAGAGTCCTGGGGACGGCTTGCATTGCTGTGGCAAAGAACAGCAGTGCTAGAAAGCCTTTTATGCTGGCCTCTAGGACCTTCAGTTGTAGTGCACGATTGCTTCCCAGCTGTTTGCCCACAGAGGAGCTCTTGGCTATACAGACACTTGCAGGACCAAACAGGCTCTGATCCTCATAGAATCATAGAAGAGTTGGGAGGGGCCATGAATGCCATTGAGTCCAACCCGCTGCTGTTGCAGGACACCATGTTACACCATTCCACTCAGATGGCCATCCAGTTTCTTTTTGAATGTATCTAGTGTAGGAGAGCTCTTTAGGCAGCTGGTTCCACTGTTGTATTGCTCTGACAGTGAGGAAGCTTTTCCTGATCTCTAGCCTGAATCTGGGTTGACAGTGGAATCCTGACAGAACTTTTAAAAAAAGCCAGTGGAAGTGAAGTAGGTGGTCAGAGCTGTTGTAACAGTAGTTGTAGCAAAACCATAGTACATAAATCAGTGTCTATAGTAAGAGTGCAGGGACATACTATTCCAGGCTATTTGAAGTAAAGCTCAGCAATGCATTTGAAGCTGCTTTTATAGTCCAGTTGAATAGTGGAAACACAGAACAAGTGCCAGGTCTTTTATTTAACACTTTTGTTTACCATCTCATAGCCACATGATGGTTGACATGGTCTTCATGGCAAATCCAGCTTTTGTATCATGCTTAGTTCTTCGTCATGATCTCTGTGCATCACACATATGGGTGCTGCACCTGTGTGGTGCCTATTTTTGGGAAGATTCAGCTATAACGATTTTTGGCGGGAACTCTGCTCCCCCTCCCCCGATATAAATTGGAGGGAGTCCCTGCCCTCCAATCAGTCTGCTTTTGACAGCCTTTCGCTGTGCCTTGGGTTCTCTCTTTTGCTTCATTCCCTCACAAAAATCTACTTTACCTCACTTGTCTGTAAAACTTATCTTACAACTTTATCCCAAATACTTTACTTCCTCAATCCCTGACCTTCACCACAAATCTTATCCTCTCACTCCCTTTCCATTTCCCCTTCCCTCACGAACAACCCTCCCCACTGCCAAAAAAGCAAAAAAAAAAAACCCTTCTATTGTCTCTCTTCCCCTCATTTCCTTTTTACTTTGCCTTGATGGTGCAGCATTCTGAAGATGTACTCAGTGCAGAGTGAAGACGTTGCCCATTGATACTCATTTGCTCTGCTTGATTTGTCTCGGTGAAGCCCATCGCATGGACAAATGTGTCCATTGCCAGGCCTTCACCT